TCGCCTTTTGAAGTACAGACTGAACCGTGAAACTGACGCAATATCAAGTTTAGCTCAGTGCTGTCTTTTTTGCTTTTGCTAGATCAATATCAATGTTGTTTTGTTGCAGCTAGTCTGTAAAGCATCTTACAGCCCATTTTGTTTGGCGAATGGTATTCAGTTCATTTCTGGCTAATTCCAGGTTGTTTAGGTGTTCTTCTGTCACAGCTGCTCACTGAAAAGCTTGCTTGGTGGTAATGACAGTTTGGGAATTTAGTGTAGTCTCATCTTCAGAGTCAGAGAGGCTGTAGGTCAAATGTAATCTTGAAAGTATCCATTTTCTGTTTGTGGCAAAGTACAAAGTAAAAACGTTCAAATGGCGTGAGCGTCTCCTACAGCTGTCAAAGTCGTTGCTTAGCAACGACGTCTCAGCGGAGCGATACAGTGTTTGTGAAAAAACCGTGCTGTTATGGCGAAATAGAACGCTTCTCAACCAATCAGCTTGCGTGGCTGGAACTAACTGTTGTATAATAGTACCTCAGGCCTAATATTGGTATCAGCCCTGTCAAATATTAGCACAGTGTTCAAATATCAATATGAGTAAAATATTAGTATTGATAAGTCATAATTTCATGTCAGCATGTAAAATAACTGGACCACAGCTGAAGTATAGCTGTCTGCAGGGAAACTCAGCCTCCAGCTACAAACACTAAAACAGTTTTATTTGTTTGTAGTCCTATTATCATACATAATTATTCCTAACATGTTTGTATTCTGTGTCTTATTTTTGACACAAGGTTTGAACAACCCTGTTCAAATGACTTATTTTGTTGATATTCTTAGTTAAAATAACTGAACACACCCTCTACAGGGAACAAACTTAAATATGACATTTCTGTACATTTTTATGCATCATTTCTATTTATCTGCTCAGTTTAACATATTGAGAGAGAAAATCAAATATAAAATAAAAAAATACAATAACGGTTGCATAGGCCACATTGAATGTTATATTTTATTCCTAATATGTTGAATTCAGCAAATAAACAGTACACTGTAAAAAATGACCTGTTAGTTCAACCTACAAAAAATATTTACTGTAGTAACAAGCAATTGAACTAGTTTTATTCAACGCAAAAAATTACTTTAATTGAAACAATCGTTCATCCAAAATATTTATTTAGGTTGAATAAAATAGGCCATTTGCTTGTTACCACATTAAGTAATGTCTTAGGTTGAACTGACGAGCCATTTTTACAGTGTACTTGTGCATTTAAATGGGTAATGTGTGTTCTCAGTGGAGGATGTGTACTTATTTTAATTTAGACAGTCAACAAACATCATTTGACCAGGAGCCCCCAAACTTGCATATGTTTGCATTCATATTAGTCGTATCAGTCCTGATTTCAAAAATCTTTCAGTCGCATACTGAGACACTGAGACATTGCAGTCTAATCTAGGAGCAGGCTTAATCTGTGTCCGCAAAAGTGTCCAATAAACATATTACACAATACATAAGCAGACATGAGGTAGCCAGTTTGCTCTGTTCTTCCATTTGCAGCTTCTAGTGCCAAGATGGTCACTACAGCACAGTGCCCATAGCAGAAGAAGAAATAGACCAGGTCTGTGTTGTACAAAATAGAGAAGAATTATATGCTAATAACACTGTTGTCCTCACCAAATGTAAACGCATATCTATGAAGCCACAATGCTACAAAAAGAAGAACGGTGGCACAATTAGAAATTAGGACAGGATTAAAAAAATGCGGAAGAAAGGCACAGGACATACACCTTACTGTCAGACATCCGTGTATAAGAAGCAATTATAGCTGCTGAGCTATAACTGTTAAGTGGAACTGATGTAAGCAAGAAGAGGAAAAAGGGGACGTATTAAGTTCTATTTCTAGTTTACAGAAAACTAAGCCTCTTGTGTTATCATGGCTGTCCTAAGCGTGTGACATATTGAATCAAACACATGATAATGTCACTGACTTTCACAGTTGACTTTTACCTCCTGAACTAGAGCAGGTACACCCACTTGCAATAGCAATACACACTCAGCAGCAACTGTAGTAGACAGGAAGTGGAAATAACCATGCTGTGATGAATAATAGACAGACTTAAAAGTTATGGGGACTTGTGAGCTTTAGATCGCACGGCTGGGGATGAATCTAAATAAAACTAAACAGTATGACACGTTCATTTCACCAGTTTCCATTAACAACATGGAGGCCTGGGGAAAAAACTAAAAGCTCAGATTTTCCAGGTGTGGGTGTACATTTTGAGTTGGCTTACAATAGCCTTTGTTTACCCACCACCTCAGTTACTTAGAAGTTTTTATTCTAGCAGTCTTAGATAAGCGTCAACGAATGCCTTTGTAGAGGTAAAGCTATAATTATGTATGTTACATCATATAACTTAAACTAAAATAACATTCATATAGGATAAAAAAATCTGAAACTCATACTTCCCCTATTTACCACTGCGATCAAATAGTTATAGCTAGAAGAAAACAACGTCACATTTTCACTGCCTAACTAGGGTTAATTAGACATGGACACAAATTATTGATCCAGTCTTAATCTCAAATGGACAGCAATATGATAGCAACATTGTTCATCCATACAGTGTTAGGTGACATTACACAGGACCATTTCCAAGGGTCATGTCTTTTAGTGCTTATCTCAAAGCCGGGACATAGTTTATGTAATAACTATGGTAAATTTGGTATCAGTGCAGAAGCATGTTTATCTATCAGGCTTACATAGCTAAATACTCACATGTATTTGCCATATTTTTGAAAATGATATCAAACATAAAACATCTGTCTTGTTGACTTGAACAAAAGTAAAACCCCATTTCAGATCTGCTATGTTACATATAATGGCCAGCAAGTTAATTACAAGGAACATAAAACATAATAATTAGCTGCTAGCGAACTGCTAAGCTAACCTACCTTCTGAGTTTACAAACTAACAAAGTGGCTTATGCTGCATTCATCAAGATCTTGTACCCTTCACTTTCTGATCTCCAACCTGGAAAAATCAAAGAAAACACCCCCTCAACTGGGAATTCCTACGTGGAAAGTCAGGGTGGTGAACTCCAAAACTGTACCCGAAACTGCACCCTATTCACTATATAGTGCACTATTTTGGGGTTCCAGCATTTTGTAGAGATGTCTGAAAACATTCTGCAGAATCCTCAGTGCACTCGAATGATCCCACAATTCACTGCAACAAATTGTGTACAACTGACTTACCCTAGGGGATAGAGCATAGCCATACGTTTGTAAGTGTCGTTTGTATGTAAACTTGTGACATAGTTGTCGAAATGTTTACTACCATCACAAATTCTGTTCCCTATAATAGTGTTCTATATAGTGTTCCAGATTTTCAAATATACAGTGTAGTGATTAGGAGACCAACTCAGACACGGCACAAGTTTTGAGTATGATGTCAAAAAAACAGTTTAGCTTTACCTCTAATGTTTTGAATTAAATTCATGAAGGCCTTCGTAGTTTAGCTTATAAGTTGAACCAGGTTGGGTTTAATAAGGCACATCGCTGGACTCTTCAGTGCTGTAGCCTCTGAGGACTGGAGTTTGACACAGTGTCTGTACTTAAGTGAAATGTTATATAGTGTTAACAATTTATATAACAGGGTTTCTCAAGCACCCTTTGGTGGTCCTTGGGCCAGTTCTGAGAGAGAGCCATTGGTCCGTAGTAGGCCAGTGATGACACTTTGTCATAAAAATGAAAAAAATAACTGCCTTAACAACAAGAAAGAGATCTAAAATGTTTTTAATTGTAAATAATGCTAATACAAATGCAACAACGGCTCACAAAACAGCTCCGTTTATTTTTTGCCCCTTGCTTCTAGAAACAAAATGCACTGCCCCAAAGTTTCAATCTTCTACTCGCAGAGGTGGGAAGTAACTAGTTAAATTTACTCAAGTACATGTACTTAGTAAAATACTCATGGATTTGTACTCTGCTGAGTATTTTCATATTGTAATACGTTTACTTCTACTCAAATATTTTAGTGAGTAAAGGAATCTACATTTTACTCTGTTACATTTTAGGATGGCTTTGTACTTCCACATATGAATATACTGATAAACTCATTATACTGAGTATGTTTGTGTCAGTGATGCTAAAAATGTGAAAAGAGTGAGAATAGCAAAGAACTGTGTAGGACAAGAAATACTTTTGCTTTACCCCCGCCTTCTGCTTCTTATACACAGACTTAGACAGACACACGACAGAGTTAATGCACTATAATGGCAGATCACATGGAGTTATTTTATGTGGCAGATACTAATACTAATGCAAATGCTTTCAAATGTACTTTTTGAAATCTATTTACTGGCTTTTTTACTGTAGAAATACACAAAAAAATATTTTAAATGTATTGATATATGTATTGATTTTAGGGTACTGTTATTACTATGGATTGTACGGAAAAGAAAATTAATCCTTAATAAGTAGTGCAGCAAATACCAGACTTCTACTAACAGTGGGTGCATTACAATGAGCATCCAGACAGATAAGCTTCTTAAGATCAGATGATTGGTGGTTTAATGCTGTGTGGCACGTTGTCCACAACCCACACAAAAACACTGAGTTACTGTATTAAACATTCTGTAACACTGTAGTTTGATAGTCTTCTCTAGATGCTTTGTAGATACGCAGTCTGTCTTTTAACATTCAACTAAACATCTTTTAAATGCAACTGAACTTAAAGCCGAGTGTGAGAGATTGTAATAAGTCTATCACCAGAAAGTTTAAGAAGTGAAGTATCTGTAGATCATCAAAATAGAAAGTGTGACCAGAGATTTGTACATGCCTGAATACATCCTTTTGTACTTGCCTTCTTTTTTTAATTAAAAATAGGCCATAAATGGGACTCTGAACAACAAAAATGGGCATTAGGTAGAACAGCGCCAGTATGCAAATGAAACAGCAAACTGTTAATATCTTTTTCACATAAGGGGCTGTACTTCCCCTATTTACCACTGCGATCAACAGGAAACCTAGAGGGAAGTACTGCCATTCTTTCTTTTCTCAGTGTGCTCAGGCAAATCCTGGGTGTTGGTTGCTGTTGAAAGTGTTATGAAGGATTTTTAAGTATTTTTTGAAATCTCTGCCCCTGTGTGACCATATAGGGGCTTTTTTATCAAATCAAACTTCAGACGTTTTTCTTTTTTTCATTTCTTTTTTTTCATGCTGCTTTTTATGTTAGCATTTTGTCAAGACTGCTTACTTTTCTTTTCTCTGATTCTCCGCTAGAACATTTTTTCATAGGTATTTTTCTCCACCTTAAAGTCAGGTTGTGTGCTGCTTTCACATGTACCGTGGCATGTCAGAGCAAAACATCCTTTGAGCTTCTCAGGAGTGATGACTGCAGTAATGTGAACATACCTTTTTGGGAATCTACATACCTGTTTTGGGAATTGTATTGTTTAATTTTTTATCCGAGTAAGTGACAAACTTGGAACCATGAGTTTCAATAACATTCCTACAAAATCAGAGGTCATGACTTGGGATCCACCACACTTAGCTGACTTTCTGAAAAGGGTAAGTCACTGCACCTTTAGTTTCCTCAGCATGTGTGACTTTTATTTCTTAGAAGTAGCACTTTAAAGCTATTTTTTCCCTTAAATTGATATTTTAATAGTATTATATTTGTATTTTATTTCATTTGTACTGAATCTAAAGTGCTTCAGTTTGAAGGAGCAGCACTAAATTCAGCAGTGAGGCCTACTGGTCCAAAAAAGGATTTTAACATATCAAAATTGCATATTTTTTTATATTTGTAGGCTTCACTCACATACACACTCGCACATACACCAGTTATTAAGCTGTATGTATACTCTGTCTTTTCCTTGTTTGTGACTAAGATAGTTTTGTCTTTTTGATTAACAGCGAGAACTGACGGGTTGTGACAAAGTAATCATGAAATGCAATATGAATGGACAGAGATTTCTGGTATGTATCTCATTCCAGGGAGATTTCCTCTATCCTCCCTGGAAATCACTTTTACTATCCATTTCATTGCTTGCTGGTGCTAATTATGTTATAATATTTTCAATAGAGATATGTAGCTACTCACAAAACAAATAATAATGAATTCAGTCACCTCCTCTAAAACTTAAAAATATTCGTCTCTTTTACATTTCATTTGGATGTGTGGGCCCTGCATGAACAAAATCCCCCTTCATACTGTGGTCTGAGTCATTGAGTCATGTTTAGTCGTCTTGCATGTTGTCATGGATTAAGGAAGTGCCATTATTAGAAGAGGTTTTGTCTGCATGCCACATATTCATTTGTAACATTTTTGGATATAACAGCTTTTTGAAAAGAATACCAGGTGACATATAATGCATATATATATGCATGGGTTAGCCTCTCCTCAAGGACGCCCAGTATTTCCAGTTACCATCCAGTTCGTGCTTTAGCTAATCCATCTTTCATTAAATGAAAACAGGTGGGCTGCTAATGGGGTTTAACAAATCTAGGCAATGGCTGGAGTTTGCTAAAAGGTCAGGAGCCAAACCTGTGCTCCTCTAAAAGTATTTCTCTAACTACGATTTTAATAACTTAAAAAACAACTAAGAAAACCTGTTACGTTTTGCTGTATTATGCTTATTTTATTTATTCCAACATTATTTAGTGTTTTACTAGAAAAACACTGCTGAGATACATAGTTTTAAATAGTTTTCATGACTGTTTTATACACAGTAATGTGTATGCCTTTGGTTTGTATTTAGGCCAAGATGTAGATGCTGAAAGATGTTTCCTCAGCATAATTATCCTATTCCATTTTGTATTAATGTCTGCAGCAATCTGAATGAATACATTCTAACTGTGTCTTTCAGAGATAATATAACTGTTTATTTATTGTTATTTGAATACATACTTAGTGTTTATAGTGTTTCTGTCTCCTTTCTCTTTCCCCTTTATCCCTTTGAGGATATTTCGAAATAAAAACCTGTTTTAACCTAATTTGGTCTTTTTTATTTGCAGAACATGTCAGATAATGATCTTCAAAAATTTCCCAAACTTCACGCTCCGTGAGTATTGGCTGTTGTTTGTTGCTTTTTGACCCTGAAGTTTGTGTGGGGTGATCGCTCTTTATTAGGTTTCTTGTCTGATTGCAACTGAATATCTGTGCCCATAATCATCTGCATTTTTGTGTCTATAAGCTGTGTATCTGGTCATGTTCCTCAGCTTTCCTCTTCAGTCGTAATACACTCATTTACAATGTTAAAATTGTCCACAAGTTCACACTGCAGTATAAAAAGGCGCTGTGTCTCTGTGTCCTCGGTGCACACGCTGACATTAAGAGGAAGCACTGCTGAAGAAAGATAGTGCAACACATGCAGATGTGGCAGGAACCATTGCACAGCAGAATCTGCTTCAGTGCGGCTTCAGGGATATGAAATGGCTGAATGTGCACACTTTTAAGGAACAGAAATGAATTTCTAAGAGACACAGTATTGAGGGCTAGTCAAAACATTGAGCATCTAGTATAGTGCTATTGCAAATCACAGTGAGTTCATGTTTGGCTTGTAGAGCAGTTTAAATGTGCATGGAGGAAAGAGAACTTGTTTTAGTTACCACATCCTGCCGAAGCTGAGCCCTCAGCTAGTGCGCCCACCAGTTCCAACTCACAGCGTTAGCACATGTTGTGCTTTTAGCGAGCTGTGACTTGGTATGTGGAGAAAATAGTCCAAGGCCAGTGAGTTATTTTTACTTTCCGACAGTCAGCCAGGGGAGTCTTTGTGGTCAGTGAATAAATATGCAATATAAAAATGATGTTTAATTTCATTTTACATTTTAATTTTATTTTGTAGGCTTATCACCAAGATCTGTCGGGAAATCAACAACAAGAAAGAAGAGAAGAGAAGTCTTTTTCCTAGAAGGCAAGCAGTTTCAAACCCATTTATAGTTCATCTCTGCTGAGCTGATCCTCCTGACTAGTCATCATTATTAGCATTATTAATATTATTCCTTTCTCTTTTATAGAACCCCTGCACCTGCATTCCAAGAGACAGGTACAGATGTGCATTCATGAATCAATTATGCTGTTTCCCCACATCTGCTTCAGCTTGTGGGTTCTAACAAATAGTGTTTGGAATTTAACCCTCTATCACACATTATGAGAGCAATGTTTTATTCACCGTTCACTTTTCTTGCATAAAATGGACCTAATAATTAAAATCTTTTTAATTTTTAAAAAAAGTTTTTAATAATAATACTTGCAGAAGGTGGGGTTACGTTGCCTGGAGTAAACGTTGTGAGACAACGAAAATAAATGATACAAAATAGCACAACTGTAAAACAAATAGAACCAAATCATTTTCAAGTAATCAGAGTTGGCTTTTATTTCTAAACAAAACTGATGACACTGGTAAAACAGACGTAGTATGTTGACTGCTGCATGGCATAAGTGACCGGAATGGGCTTCAAGCCACTTATATTGCACACACATTAAATACTGAATAACTTAACTTCCTAAATAAACAAAAACACAAATAATTTGAATTAAAAATGAATCATTCTCAATGAAATGTTAAACGATAACTGCACTTTTCTTTTAAGTGGCTACACTTCACTTGCAATTGGTTATATCCATTCCATTCCACAATGTTGCTTCTAGGCACAAACATATTTAAACAATTTCTCATAACGCAAAAATAATTCATATGATACCGGATTTACAAAATATCTTCAAACAGAAGTGAATCATGTTTAAAAATACCCACCACATCCAAGTGTGCTTGTGACCAAGTATAAGCATTTTGTTGATTTTTATAAACTCCTCGCTTCATTTTTAAGCTTTGATTGTCACCAAACATGTACCATGTAATTGCATAGTGAGGAAAGTGGGTTTGTTACCCCAAGGCAACATTGTGCAACAGAGGGTTAAAGGCATTGTAGATTGCCTGTTTGTCTGTACACCCTTTATTATCATTTTTCTATGGAGACTGAAATATGTTCTGATTGGGAGAGAAAGTACAAGTGGGCCTCTGCTGGGTTAAAGTTATAGCCATAGGCAGACAATTCAGGCTTGCAGCTTGCAACTGGGTAAAAGTAGTGGAGAGAGCTTTTTTTGTACACATGAAGTATATTTTTGTAACCTTTTGTCCTTTTAGTCTTTTATTCTTTGGTTTAGGAGAGAAGGTATAAAGGTGCTTTTCATGCAGACATTTTCTCCACACTATTTTTCCACCTGGGTCAAGTCAATCCTGTATAGGAATACAGTTGATCTATGGAGGTATAGTAACTGGGCAGTTCGCATCCAACAACATTAAAGTGATGACTGCATTTTCCTTTTTTTATGAACAATTGTTTTATTGTCTTTTAACTTATGTTTGCATACATACATAAGAACACATAACATCCCCTTTGCTTCCCCACCTCCCCCTCCCGGATGTGTTTTGGACAGTACATTTAAAAAAATAGGTACACCTACATACACATACACATATCAGACCATAGCTTCATGAAAACAAAAGTGAGAAAATAAATAAGTAAGTAAATAAATAAATAAACAAACATACTTAAATATATGTGTGCGTTAAATAACGGGACTGCGATGATTGCATTTTCACAATTTTCTCCTTACCCCAAATGTAACGGATAAGCCTAGACATGTTTGCTGTCCAAAGGTTACGTTTTTGGTTTTTCACTAGAGCTATAAGGCTAATGGATGTAAAGGAGGCTTATTACCACCAGTTAACATTGTGCAAACTACACAGCTAACTCATCAAACATTTGTAATCTCATATAGACATGTGCTTTCTGACAGTGTATGACAGACCATCTACAGAAATGGACAAAAGTATATTGCATAGCTAAAATCAATAGCAGCCATCTAGAAACCTGAATTTTGGTAATTCTTTTGTCCATTTTTATGGATAACATTTAAGGCATGGGTGTGATGATTAGGCATGTCGTTTGCAGGATTCTATACTAGTTCCTGTAAATGTCCATTGCTTGTTAGCCCCTTACCTCTGCTAAAAAAAGCAGACTTTCAAAGCTAAAAAAAGCAGACATCAAATGTTTTTTAGCTGACTGACTGTATTTGGGGTAACAGGGAAATAGTATGAATTTATCGACCAAGAGAAACAATGCAGCAGATGGTGCTTTTGATGGAGAGCAAAGAAGATTGTGATCAAAAGAGAATATAAACAACAGCTGAATGATACAAGATGCAAAAGTGGAAATGTCTGCAGCTATGATGAGTAGGCAGGGTATCAGTGTGCAGCAGCCCAATAGAGGAAATGTGAAAAACAAAGCAGTAAAAATCACGGATTGCTCATTTCACCTTGGATGAGACCAGAGGCAACTGTGTAGATTCTTTTTCTGATTATTTTTGTCATTCACAGTTGTTCAGGATGACCAAGGGTGGGATTCAGAAGAGTTTGTAAGTCAGACCATTTCTCTCACATGCATAATTGTTTTAAATTATGTTACATGTTTGTTCTTCCTACATTTGTGCATTAATTCTGCTTTAAAAGGAAAGTGACTATGAGACCCCAGATTCGAATGATGAAGGTGAGGGCAGTGGTGGAGATTATGAGTCGCCAGCAGAAGGAGGAGGGGAGAGCGATAATGATTATGAGCCGCCCCCAAGTGAGCCCCCTGATGACCTACAGCATCACCAGATCCGTGCTGCCAAGCCTATGAGCAACAGCGAGTATATTGGTAAGGAGCACTGTTGTCTATTAAAGCCACAATAAGCCACAAGAGGCTGTGCATCTGAAAGATTTTACCACAGCTAAGGGCTGTTTTTAGTTGGAGTGCTGCAAGTAGTTCCTAACACAGGTTAACCATGGTAAAATCACTGTAACCAACCTCAAGGTTTATTGCTTTTATGAAATGGTGACAAAATATGATATGATAAAATATATTAAATTTTTATTTAAAATGTATTATTAACAATGATCAAAATCAACAGTTGTTCAGTTTGTTCTCTTTGGTGTGTTAAGAGTATGCTATGGTTGCTGGTGCGCTACTACAGAATTCAGTTAATATGTGCAGTCGTGTATGTATGTATGCATGTGTTTTGAGTACTATGACTGTGAAGGTGAGTAAGCCAATCAGATTTCTGTTTTATACTCACTGCATTTGTGTACTATGTCTTTATTGCATATGTAGACCGAGCTCATGCTTCAGTCAAAAGCCAGCCTCCAGTGCCTCCTGCACGTCCTGGGCCTGGTCCTCCACTCCCAACCCCTGGACCTGGACGGCCAAGTGTAAGTCTGCCTCAGTTCCCAGAATTGTCTCCACTTCGTTTGCTTTGCTTTTTCACTTCTTTAATTTGTACATAGACAATGAATGAGTTCTTTTGCTTGCAGACTGCTGGACCATACCAGAGGTCAGAGCAATCCCCTCACAGACCTCAGAAACCACCTCGTAAGTGAAAATAGGGTTCCTTTTTTGTGTGTGGGGGTAAAGAAAAAAACAACTTTGTAGAAAAAAATTAATATAATTGAAGGTGTCCATGAGGCTCTCAATGTAAGTCAGAGAAGAAGGAAAATTTAAAATATGTGAATTTAGGCTTTTTACATACAAAGACTTTACTCAGTAACTACAGGGACTCCAGTGCAAACTGGCTGAGCTACTCTTAGTTTATAGAGGTGTGTAATAAAACTTTATGCCCGCCGGCAGGCCCATGGCCTGTGAAGAGGCTGATCAGGTATCATGATAGCCCTAATTCCTTCTTATGTATATTACTTATTGTTTTACATATTCATTTTGTCTTCAGCTCCTGACCGCAGTAAAAAACCAAGTACTCTGGAAAGAGGGTCTAACGCTCCACCAGCCCAAGGTAATTTGTTTAATTATAGTCTGCATTTTAAGGAACTTTTTTCCTTTTGTGTGTGTACTTCCTCATAACAATATGTGATGCCATAGCAGTATGCCATCTTCCTATTTGTTGTGGACCGGTTCATTGTTTTTGACCAAAGCATGCTTAGCGCACAGAAATGGCTTTTTTCTTCTTACTAGACAAATTCTGATGTTCATTAGGTATTTACAGTTTACAATTAAATAACTTTTCCTTATTAGTATTGAATATTCTTTATATTTTGGAGGACTTTGTCACAATGTGTGAGGGACATGTACCCTCGTGGTGTGTGCAGGACTACCAGGAGATGATTCAGCACTTCCACTTACAGAGAAGTTTCAACCAAAGTTTGTTAGGAGAAACTGAAAGTAGAATAAGAGATCTAACTGTGCTTAAAGGGCCCATATTATGAAAAACAGAATGTTTCTCACTTTTTTAAAACAAAACAGCGTTATGTAGTACGTAAACATTGTTAAAGTATCAAAACATACTTTTAACACCCCAGGTGATGCAGTTCATTGGTCTATATTGTAAACAACCTTCAAAAACAGTGCATTTTGAATTCATTGTTTTTCATGATGTCATGAACACCAGAGTATTTACATATATACACCTATAACAGTTTAGCTCTGCCCACTCACACTGTAGTTATAAGGAGTGTTTTAGCCAAGGTCGCTTTTTCAATGAGGCACAATGCAGGGCAGCCAAACAGAACAGGGGTCATTTAGATATGTCTTAAAGACACAGTAACAACAACGGCCTGTTTAATTCTTAGGGATAAGGAGATGTTGGAAAATGGTCATGTACAAATGAATTATGAATGTTTAGTACATAAAGTAGGCCTCTGGGAATAAAAATAAAATACAATACTAAGCAGGATATGGGCACTTTAGATTAAAAATCAAGGAGGAAGCTCTTTTATACAAACTGAGGGAATGCTGGGTCACACAATGCAGTGTAATAGAACATTATGTTTAGTGAAAAGACCTCAAGAGCCAAAGAGCCTTTAACATTCCACTTGGAGATGACTTTGGACCTCTCTATTGCACTTTACCTCCATAAAATCATAGCATTTATAACTTATTAATGTTTCCTCAGAAGGAAGTAGCAGTGTTTTGATATTGATTGTTACTTGATCAACCTTGGGAAACACAAAGATAATCCAAATGGTATCCACTGGACCCCTTTTCAGAGCTATCAGTATGCTAACAAGAAGAGCAACCATGAAAACCACCTGACTTCCTCAAATATGAAATATCTGGAAACCAGGCTAATACAGTTTACAAACAAGGTGACAATGGGAGCAGATGACTTGGCCACCAAGTGAGGTCAGGAAGACCACTAGTTGTGAAGAACAGCAACAGAACAGAAGCCTATGTGGCTATCTTGGCCTGAGGCTGTAAAATTCAAGATCACCGCAGGTGTGACATAATCACAAAAAGTCAAAGATAATGGTCAGAGTTTAACCCTGAAGGAGTTTATTTACAGTCAGCTGTGATCAAAAGAGAGTTCAGAACAGTGTAATGAACTCAAGAGAAGTGGTTAAACAGGACATTGGGTGCATTCCTAAAAATAAATGTTCCTAAATGGTTCTTGGCTTTGAGATCTGGTACTAGGAAAACGCTTTACTTGGCAGAGGTTCCTTAAACTTTAAAAAAGTTCTTCCCACTTGCACATCTCATTCACAAAAATGGTTCTTCTACAGAACTATCCACTGAAAGGGTTTTAGGGAGCCAAATAAGTTCTTCCATGACATCAACCCCTTTTTAGAATTTTTATTTTTAAAAGTGTAGAGTTGTCTGGTTGACAGTCAGCATGTAAGAGCCAGGGATAGCTGGCTAGGTGAGTTCTCCAGTGGTGGCTTCATGTGACGAATCTCTAAACTGGATGCAAAATACCAATAATTAACACTTTCTTGTGGTCGCTACACATACCATAAACCCTTCATTTATTTTTCTTTACTTTTTACACTATTTTATTTTACACTTTAGACTCTATGTAAGGAGCAGTTAGACTAAGATCATTTGAACTCTTAGCATTGCAGAGAGGTTCCTGCCTGGACAGGGAAACCCCAGCATTGTGTGTGTCTTTGCCAAACAGCCTTTTATCTTCTGAATTTGGAGCATGTTGCACAGACTTTTGTGGCTCTGTGTAACTTCTGTTCAGTTTTTTGCATGTAGAAAAGAGTCAGGATTCTGTACCATGTGATGAGCTGTGAGATGTTGTAAATAGTAGATGTACATTAATACCTGTCTGCTATCTGTGTTCACAGGAGGACATCTCTCAAATGAAAGGGTGAGATTCCCTTCTACTGCTTCATATAGTACACAGTTTCATACAGTACACAATTATTTAACATGACATGTCCTTCGTAGTCTGTGATGTGCATAGAGTCTGTTGTTTTTCCACTGATTAGAAGATTCTTCTATGGATTTGTAGAATCCTAATAAATATGTAAATCTATGCATGCTTTCTAACATGATACAGAGTTATCAGAATGGCTATGGTAATGCAATTGTGGTGGAGAGGCTTTATATTACTATACATGTAATGATATTTGTATTTATTTACAATGTGCTGGTTAACCATTACATTATAGGAAAAGGGGAATTCTACCAATTTTCAAAATTTCAGCATAATTCAGTCACTGAGATTTAAACAAAGTCATTCAAAGTTTCATGTGAAATGGTTTACTGTAGAGAAACTTACCCACTCACATTTCTTCACAGTGGTGATAGAAACCAGGGGTTGCAATGTCTAAAATGCAAATTCTAAAATTTCATTTAATATCCGAAACAACCCGTGGGCCTACACATTATATGTAATGTCAAGAATGTTAAAAAAGTGATAAATCTGAACATTTTGCATTACACCATCCCGCATTTACATCTCTGCCATAAATGGATTTAAAAAACATGCATTTTAGCCCAAAAGCTTTTCGTAAAACTGTTGTAAAGGAATGTCTCAGGCATCAGGCATCAGGCCTGATTAATATATTATATATATATATATATATATATATATATATATATATATATATCATATATATATATATATATATATATATATATATATATATATATACATATATCTTTGTGTAAGATAGCTTTTAGAGGCATTAAACACTTCAGACACATCATTCCTATTACCAAAAATGTACTTAGTAAGTTTCACTCTAAGAGACTTTGTTTAGATAACCAATTAATTATAAATGAATTTTTAAATGATTCCCCTTCAGGAATTCTATTTTAATCTTTTATACTGTTTCTTTTTCCTTTCAATGAATGCTGTCCAATACAGAATGCCCCACTCCCAAGGAGGTATTGTCATTTCTTTTGTTTTTTAGATGACCTTATACTGCCACCATTTGCATCAGTTTTTGTTAAATAGCTTTCATATAACCTGCTCTGCTGTTAAGTTTATGCAAGGTTGGGAAGTACTTGGTATCTGACCTATCTGTCTAAACACAATCAGGTATCTGAAATATACTGATGCCAGTGTCATACATATTTGACAAAAGGCAGCAAAGTCATTGTTTTTGAAAAGGTAATGGCACACATCTGAGAATGAATTGGTCTGATTTCAAAGCCCACGCATGAGCAAAAGTTTGTTACTAATTCGCTTGCTGCACATACAAGTGACTCATGCAAAACCATAACTTCCGGCCATGCGTGGGCTGTTCTATAATTAGTGTCTGTGAACAGATTATCACATTTGCACAACTGAAAACTCTGTCTGGTAGCACCCTTAATAATGTTAAGTGACACCTTTCACGTAATGGTTCACTTTCCCACGTGCCTTTGTAATGAATAATTGTATGAATATGCTGAAATCAATAACCTTTTTTAAAACAAGTTCACATTATAATTTATTGAAGTTGAGTGGAGTGACCATTTTAAACTCTGAACATGAATTAGTTATTAATAGCCAAAACATAGTTAAATTAGAAATGACAGTTATGGGAATCGTACATTATTTTGGCTTTTTTACAACATAATTGTATATAGCTGAATGTTAACTCTTTTGCTACAGTGCTACTGCTCCTCAGAGGCAATTTGCAGAACCTCCAAGAATGCCCAAGCCTCCACTACCTACAGGGGGAGTCCGGAGGACTGCCTCCTCAGTCTCTAATTACAGGTGTGTGCTATTAAAATTGCAATAAGCTTTGTTGTTATGGACATTTTCACCTGCTTGAATGGTGCTTGCTACATATTACTGTGCAGTTCATGAAAAATTGGACAGATGTACAATTTAGATTGATTGTGCTCTGTACACCAGCGCAGCACATAGGAATCACACATCTTTTATTCAAGGTTACTCCATTTCAGGGAACCATAGCTTATTATACAATTGGCTCTTCAGTTGTTTCTTGGCTGGCTGTAAGTTCTTGCATCATTAGCTCAGAATATGAGGATAAATGATGTGTTAATACCCATAAAGCAAACCATCATGAGTGAATCAAAATATAAATCAGAAACATAGCCACAAAGTATGTTAAATTCATTTGCTACATTGAGAAGAAACAAGTTTGCAAATCTGGTGAGCTTAGCAGTAGCAAACAACCTGGGAGACTACAAAAGAGTAATGCTCGCATTTAAAGTCCCTTCACTTCTATTTATTAACTGGGTGTGAAGTGTGAGGTACCAACACTAAAGTACTAGGCCATATTTTGGGGTAACTTGATTGTACGTGTTTACACATTGTGAAATGCACTAGCTAGCTCCAAAGTGCTGTGTAATTATTTTGATGGAAATGGTATCCAGAAGTATCCATACAATCTTACAAATTCACTACAATGTCTAACAGGTTCTAGCTATTAAGCTTACAAAGAACTTAGTAAATGATTTCCTAACTGGATAAATACAGTCATATGCAAGAGTCTGAACAAAATGCTTGTTTTGTTGATTTTGTTGGTAAAAAAAAATAAGGTGACATTTACAGGAAACAAAACAAAATATGGCATTTTCTGCTAATTTCAGAGCACAATTTCTATTTATTTTGCTGAGTTTAACATATTGTGAAAAATGTGAAAAATTCAGCACATAAACAGTAACTCTGCATGAAAACACAGAAGTGTGTTCTTTGTAGAGGATGTGGTCATTAGTTTTACTTAGAAGTTCAACTAAACATGTAATTTGAGCATCAAGCTTTTGCATACAGCTGTATTTGGTAAGTACAAACAAACTCACACTAAATTTCATTTTAATGTCACATGTTTAAGCAGCAAAGTAAATCAGAAAATCTCCAAGTATCAAACTACATGAGGTAAAAAGACAGTACAAACACATGAATGTTATACAGTATGCACCTGTCTATTGCCTAGAAATGAAACTGAATGTGGGCTATAAAAGAAATGACTCTTACTATGGTTTTACTGGATCCTTAACATCTACTTTCTTGCTTAAACAAATGATGTTACAGTGAAATTAAATTTTCCAGTTAGGAGATATTTTACCCTGTCCTTTTTTAGGTTAACAGCCAGAACCTGTTAAATCCATTGTAATTTGGTTTGGGTGTCTAAGTACTCACTCCCCATTTAACTTAAAATAACTACACAGTGCTTCAGAGTGTGTATCTCTGTTGTGTGTGTCTCAGAGAGTGTGCCCAGTAAATAGCCAGAATTTTAGTAACTGTGAAAGAAAGTGATACTCATGGAAAAACACAGCAGATACTGTCCAAAAGTAGAGAAAAAGTAGAGCGCTCTGAGAAAGGAAGGGAACTGCCCATGATCCAAAGCAAACAGCTTCATCTGTGAAACTCAACGGCGTGCATGGCTGTTAGTGGAACAGACTCAATTATATTGATCATGTTACTGCCAGTGACACAAGCTTTGTCAAAATGATTTGAAACACACTACTAAAGCAAAGGAGTTTTGGGGGCTAAAAGTGGAATGTTAATCCCCTGTCTTGAACCCTGTTAAGCATGCACTTCACTTACTGAATGATAAAAGGCCTCAATATAGCAGGAACTGTGCACCTGAACATGACAATTTTATTTAAGATTAGGCCTACGTCATTTTATCAAATTACGCTCCCCTGAAAGGTGGGGACTCTGTGTAAAACAGGACTGTGATTTGTATATGCTTCATATTCATAAATGATTCATAATATATAAGTAAATACCCTCAAATTAACATTCTGCATTTTTCTGCAATTCTGCAAATTTATTGTTTATTTCACATCCACTATGCTGGAGTGCAGAGTGAAATAAAAAAATAGGTCCACTGTCTTACAGACTACACTTTATTAAAGAAGTATTTCACAATCTTTTCCAAATTTCTGTATAATTCAGTTATTGATATGTAACCAAAGTCATTCAGAGTGGTTTGATATGAAATTGTTCATTGCAGACTTACTAAACGTACTAAACTCAGATATCTTTACAGTGGTGCTGATAGGAACCAGGGGTCATTATGTCTACAAGGCAAAATTACCATTTTATTTACTATTCAAAATGGCAAAATACTGATAAATCTTATGAGTCTATCTGGTCTCAGAGTCAAAGGTGCATGTATCACTCCACCTTGAATGGATTAAAAAGACTCAAACTGTCAAACTATTGTGCACAAATGTGCACATGAGTCAATAATAATTATATAACCATTTCAGATAAAAACTTTCTGTGTGGTAACTTTTTAACATTTGTAAAATGGACCTTTTACATCAAACTACTCTGAATGTGTACATCTTAACAATTTAATTATACAGAATTATGGAAACATTCTGTGGAATTACAGTCAAATAAATGACAAAGTGTTCTACATCCAGATTTCTGCAAACTATCTCAACCTGTTACAGCGCACTGATGTACTTAATGTCTCGTGATATTTTTTTGGCAGGCAAACACCTGAACCCAGAAACGAGGTGAGAATCTCTTGTTATTTCTTTAAATCATGGCTTTCATTATGAAATTATTTAATCTTATTTTTACTAATGCACAGCGTACTTTAAACATATTTTAGTTCGTAGTATACTACATTTCAAATATTACAAAGTTAATGATTACTTTTTTAATTGCTTTCATTTTTTAAATAAAAAATTCACACAATGCAAAAGACTTTACAACCACATGAACTGTTCAGGGAAAAAAAGTCACTGTTAAGAGTTTGTTTGTTTTCTCTGTGGCTTTGTGTTGACAACAAACATTCTATAGCAACGAGATAACGCCTGTGAACTCCAGTTATGTGATATAAGCTGGACTGAAACAAAGTGCAATGTCGCATGAACATCAGTGGCACTAATGTTCCTGTTGTGCACAGAAAATATTCAAATGTTATTCATGTTTTAACATGTACTGGTGTCTTTAATGCTCTGTAATCTGTTTTGTCTCTCATAAACAGTTCCTCGATGACAGTAAGCCTTTCTTTCATATTTCATGATCACATCATTCCTTTAATTCTAATATTACTACATCTTTAATGCAGACATTTGTATACCAGCACAAGTAGCTCTTCGAGCTCTGCTCATGCTCTTTTATGCTCACTTTCACAGGTGGCAGACATGGCTCCAACACCTTCCCTCTGCCCAGAAATCCTTCACCAAGACCACCACCACAAAGACATGGTGGTCAACCCGAGAGGTCATTTTATATAAAGATCTCCTAATAACAACTAAACTAGTTTGTCACAAAGAAGTAGCACATGCATGTTTTGCATGACAAGTCCTAAACATACCTGAAAATAAGGATTATTGCATAAATTTACAGTATTTATTGTTATTTGTATTTTTGACAAAGGTATATATTTTACTGTTCTTGTATACAGTGGGCACCAGACCGGATCCCTGCCATCAAGGCTTCAGGAAGGTAAGTACTAAAAGAAGGCCAATAGAAAAATAGTGTTTTTCTAATTTTGTACCATAAACTAAACTGATTGCAACCCTACTTCTGTCAACTGACAGCAATGAACAGCCACAGGAGTAGTTCAAGAGGCCCACCGCAGCAACCAATGAGGCCCCCTGACCTAGAAACCGGGGAAGAGCAGGTGGGTTGGAGTATAGTGATTGTAATTTGAATGGCGTTCAGGAGGTGGCGCCTTTTCACTACAGTTCTATAAAACACACTCAGGGACGTCTCTTTCAGTTCAGGCTGTTTGTGCAGGTAGAGCTTTGCTCAGAATTTGCTTGATCTGATCAAATTTATTTATGTATTTATTTAAAAGGTGGTCTGTGGGGAGAAGAGTTTACAGTTGCAAAATATAAAATATACAAAATTATTCAACCAAAATTTATAGTGATTTTAGTACAACAAAACAGTATCCCTCATTATTGGTGTTCTATAATGATTTAAGCCAATATGCTTCATTATTTTAAACAAATTCAAAATAACTTCAGATTGAGATAGGAAAAGCACTTAGGAGTGGGCAATATTACAAAAATATAACATTACAATACTTGTGATATTTAGTTTTTCTGAGGTTCGATACACTGTAAAAAATGGCTCGTCAGATCAACCTAACATACAACTGAACTAGTTTTATTAAACTCAAAAAAATTACATTGATTGAAAGAATCATTCATCATTCACAGTATTTATTTAAGTTGAATAAAACTAGTTAATTTGCTTGAAGTATTTTTGAACTGAAAAGCCATTTTTTACAGTGTAAGCTGGAATAGACAAAAAGGAACCAATAGTGCCACATTTGTTTTTTATAATAATATTCATGCAATATTTTACATACTGTACTGCACTAAATTAAGTCAAACAGGATTATGTAAAACATGCAGTTGGTCAGTGTTCTGTAAGTACTGATGATTTCTATGATATGCTCAGAAAAGCATAATGTGGGCTCTCAAGTTGCATAACTGCCTAAGTGCTAGAGCCCCAGCGATGCCCCAGTCATCCGTTGCTGGGAGTCCTCTCCCTGGATGAACAGGACGGCACTCCCTCTCTGGCCATCACTAAGCGCAGTGCTAACCAACATGGGCATCTGTTAAGTTTGGCGGATAGTGTTCTCCTCCAAGCATGTTGAGCTTTCCAGTGAAGATGAGTTAGTGGCAGCTGGAAAAGATGCGGTGACGTCAGGTGATTCAGAGGGAGCATGTGCTTTATTTCAGCCTTCACCCTCTCAGTTTGGTAGCATTGTATGATAGGGGAGGGAATTTGCCATGACAGAACTGGGAAAAAATAAAACAAAGCATACTGTGACAAAGTTTGTGATGATAATGATACATATTGCCACATTGCCCACCCCTAGAACCAATAATGAACTAAAGCAAACGTATTTCTTTTAGAAAAAAAAATCTTTCATACTATCATTAAATCAAATGATATTTTATTGACTATCTTGTAATATATATATTACAAGAAAGTCAATAAAATATCATTTGATTCAGTTTTCTTTTTTTGAGCGTTTTGTACAAGTAGGACATGGACAACTATAAGAATTAAGCACTCATTTTTCTCAACAACTGGATATAAAACATTAGAAGACAATATACAATAACAATTAATACATATGAATTTAAATGAAAGTAACATTAATAAACACAAATAAGTAATACATCAGTTAAGGTCATAGAGTTTGATTGCCTCCAGAGACATAGTTTATTGCTGTCTAGTAGAGTTTTATGGCCTTGAAGAGGACAAGGGGGGTTTTTGTTGATTTTCTAAGTGAAAATAAGTTAACACATCCTCCACAGAGAACACACTTCTATACATTTTAATGCACAATTACTGTTTATTTGCTGAATTTAATTTATTGGGGAAAAAAATAAAAACAAAAAATGTGGCCTCTGTAAAAGTAAATAGAAACTGTTCACTAAAATTTGTTGAAAAATGTCATATTTATTTTTGTTCCCTGAAGAGGATATGTTAACTGGCTATAGAAAGTCAACAAAACACTTAAGTTGACCAAGGTTGTTAAAAATTTTTCATACAACTGTATATATTCTGCAAAAGGTAAAAAAAGGTTAATTGTCTATAGAAATACTGAAATACTGTAACTCAAGAGATCATTTTTAGTGTTTATGTTGTCTGTAGGACATGGACCCTGCTTGGTATGTGGGCCAGGTCACACGCAGTCAGGCAGAGGGCAGTCTGAGGCGGGTAAACAGGGTGAGTCATTTACACGTTCTATTATCTACATGCTGACCTGATCCACTGTATAACACTACACTTGTATTCCCAAATGTTCAGGTAAATTTCAGATGACAATGTTGTGATGTTTCAAGCCATGTTTTTTCCTTCATTAGGATGGATCATTCTTAGTACGGGACAGCTCGAAGGGCTCGGTCACCCAGCCCTACACGCTCATGGTCCTTTACCAGAACAAAGTCTTCAACATCCAAATTCGCAAAGAGCCACATGGCTTCCTGCTTGGTACAGGCCTTAAATCTAGTGAGGTACTCCAGTGCTTGTTCTTCTAACAGTGGTCATTAGGCTATTTTGCATGTGCATTATTTTGTCACTGTAATAACAAAACCTAATATCTCTGAAATGGTCATTTTGCAGGAGAAGACAAATAATCTTCATTTTAATGTACATCATTGTAACAAGATTTTATTCTATGTAAATTGTAAATTTGGATCATTTATATTGGTCCATTCATTAAAATTGGGACACCTGGTCAAATTACATGTTTTTGTAATTATCTAAGTGAACATAAGTTAACACATTCTCTACAAAGAACACACATTTTAATGCACGAGTACTGTTTATTTGATGAATTTACCATCTTCAGGGAAAAAATACAACATAACATGGGGCCTATATAAACATTATGGTACATTTTATGTATTATGTAAGTTTATTTCCTGTAGAGGATCTGTACTTTTTTTCACAAGAAAACATGACAACAGACCAGGGGCGTTTAAACTTTTGCATGGTTTTGATATTACAGCAGTTTTCTGCTTTGTAAAAGGCACATTGTGATTTACATTTTTGATGATTTCTTTGCCAGATCTTTCCAAGTGTCAGTGACATCATCAGCCAACACATGCAGATGCCGCTGCTGTTGATTGATGCTAAGAACCGTGGATCAGGTCAACAGAACCAGTGTTCTCTGACTCACCCTGCTGGATTTTGACCCTTTTCTCCACACCAGTAACCAGACCACAGCACTAGAGGACGAAACAGAAGAGCAGGATCTTCCACCTGACCTGTTTAATAAAAGAAGAAAAGCCTCCTTTTACTTCCAATTAGTAACTAATGCATTCCCAGAGGGAATTTTGTATGTGTTTTTTATGTCATATATTTTATGGATTTAGTCACAGCAACATGCTGAGATTATGGACTATTTGTGTGTCGTTACTTTTGAGAAATTAGTCTGCGCTGCTCTTTTTTTATAGCTTTGTGGACAAAGGAAAGCAAAGAGGAGCTGGAGACCACTGCTGACATCATAACTAGGGCAAATAACCAAGTACATGAGATGATGATATTTTTTGAGTTACATCCATGATGAAAAAAAGCTTTTGTAAATTCATTGTGTCAGGTTTTGCATTAACCCATTAATGTCAATAATTCATGTCCATATCTGAAATATTATACTTCCTTAGACATCCATATTTCTCCGAGCTTGGCCGAGCACAAATCTACAGAATTTTGAAAGTCAAGCAAAAAGGAAAGTAAAGTTTTTATCACTTAATTTATCACTTTTAGTTTGCTCTTTTGGTCATATGAGATTCCTAATTTAACAAAACAAATTCAAACTAGTGCAGTTAGATATTCATCCAAAGTACAACTACGCACTTAAAAAAAGAAGGTTCTTTGAAAGTTCTTTAGTAAAGACAACACTTCTACATAGAAACATGGACACTCAAATAACCATTTGCATGCTTAAATGGCTCTGGGCATGGTGAAATGGTTCTTCAGATTGATGGAGAATGTGTTGTATATGGTTCCACATGGAATGTTTTTGGAAATGGTTCTATATAGCACCATAAAGGGCTCTGCCATTGTTATGATGTCAAGCTTGTAACAATAGAAGAACCCCTTTTGGTTCTATACAGAACCATTTTTAAAAAGGTTTTATGTAGAACCATATACAACACATTCTCCATCAACCATTGAACCACTGCCTTTACTAAAGAACTTTTGAAGAACCGTTTCATCACTTTAGGCCAATCAGACGTTCTGTCGATTTTTTTTCTCACCATACTAGACGTAGTTGTTGGACATAAATGAGTTCATTCTGAAAAAGTTCAGATTTACTACATATTCACAGATTTACACTCTATATCTGTCATGCAGACAGAAATGCTTGGTCAACCTTTTACCGTGAATTTTGTTTTGCTTTAATAAAAGTCTACTTTTTCCGTAAGAGAAAAGTGCAGTGTGTGAAACTGGAGCAGGTTAAATGTGCACATCCCTTTTGTGCGTGTATTTAGGAGAACTGAAGTCTATTGCTGTTAGGGTAAGTACTGTTACAGTGGAAATAACTGCCATTAAAGTAAGCCAGCAGGGTTTTCCCTCATTTCAACTAAAGTCTTGGCAGTTAAAAAACGACCCAAGCTGTCATCGGGGATTCCGCGAGTGGGCTGTACAAAAGGATTCGATTACAAGTGTTTGTTAAACATGTCAGCCCAATAAAACAACAGTCGGGTAATAAGCTGGATGCGCTGGAGCGCTCGCTGTGGGCTGTGTAAATAGCTCACTGGCCCGCATTAGCCTATAATTGACGATGCTGTTCGTTTTTGGCGATCGTTGATGTTCATCTGCGCTTTGGGACACAGCATAAAGAAAAACAGAACAAGCTTCTGGAAGGCGTCCTAAACGATGACGATGCCAAAGCCGCGCTCTGTCTGAGGCGCGAAACGAGGCGTTGCTGTCTTAAGAGATGAGCCTTCTGCTTTACAATGGAAATTAGGAATGAGAGCCGCAGTGCTTCAAGATAATAGCAGCGCCACGCTGCCTGTGTGTGCGCGCGCGCGCCTGTGTTTTAGGTGAGGGTGGGGGCGGCTGTGGGGGCTGGGGGTGTCGTCATCTTATCTATTATTTTGTAAGTAAAGACTATTCAAATGTTTCTAAGAAGCCATTGTACTCTGATTCTTACTGTGAGGCACGTGGGATAATATGTGGACATGGATTTAAAATGCCAATTAAAACACAAAGATAAAATATACAAAGAAAAAAAGATTATTTGATTCTGAACTGATAAATGATAAGTAGAGGTGAATATAGGCTAATGTCAGAAGACAGTCTTGTTAAAGATATGATTATTTTTGTTTTCCTCTCCCTGACTGTACCTTTCAGGGTACAAATGCTGTTCCTGTGGCGGCTACATCTTCAGTACATTTAGTTGCAGATATGTCTCTTAAGTTGATTTGACTCCAAAATCAAACGTTTAAATAATATATTATTTATGTATTTCTTTTATTTACTTCTTTTTTTGCCATGTGTCCCATGTGTTCATGAAGTTTAGGATTGAGACCCCAACGTTTTAGAAATTTGGCTGCTGCTGTTCCAAAATGTAGGCTAGTTCCAAGAACATGTTCTGCTGGAACAATACCTGCAGTTCCCAAAGGTGTTTTTCCACCCCGCCTCTAATTTCATCAAAAACAAATTAGCTGTGAGGTATGACAGCAACAGCCAATCCAAGTGGGGAGGGCGTAGCCAAACAGGTATAAATGCTCCAGGTAGGACAGGTGGGAGGTTATGGTGTACCTGACCAACCCACCCTGAACTGGGCATACAGAGAGTGGGACAAAGAAGACTTTCTCACCTTTCATCATTGTTCACCTTCAGCTGGAAAGAAGAAAAGGCGACAAGCGTAATTAGGGTGAGCATGACATCATTTGTGCCACAAGCCCTGTCACCCCAGTTCCACAGTATGGGGCAGGAATCCCAAGAGTACAGCCTGTACAGCGACAACTTCTATAGTCCTCCGCCTCTGCCGAGCCCGCAGCAGACTCTGCCGTCCGCCTGTGAGCTGGGGGACTATGCCAGCCCGGCCACAAACCCTTACCTGTGGTTCGGCAGCCCCGGCCTTAACCCTGCACCATATTTTGGTGGAGCTCACCAACCCTACGGAATGCAGAGGCCCTACCTTGGTGCAGGAGGAATGGGGGGAGCAGAAGGGGGCTTCAGCTGGTTCCCCTTGCCCACTCAAGAGGACCTAATGAAACTCGTCAGGCCCCCGTATTCTTATTCTGCTCTAATTGCCATGGCAATAAATGGGGCCCCAAATCGCAGGCTCACTCTCAGCCAGATCTACCAGTATGTGGCAGAGAACTTCCCATTCTACAACAAGAGCAAGGCTGGCTGGCAGAACTCCATTCGGCACAACCTCTCACTCAATGACTGCTTTATGAAGGTGCCAAGAGATGATGATGATCCAGGTGAGGGCATGTTTATCTATTTTTTTTTTTGCTGGAGGGGGAAGGTTTAATATTTGATGCACAGTGTATCCCTTTGAAGCAGCTTTCATCATGGCAACAATGCTTATAATAATGTGTGTTTGTGTGCAGGAAAAGGTAACTACTGGACTCTTGATCCGAACTGTGAGAAGATGTTTGACAACGGCAACTTTCGTCGCAAGAGGAAGAGAAAGTCTGACGCCCTGCCTGAAGATGGGGGAACAGACTCTACTGCATCCAGCCCAAAAGACCAGAGCAATGCCACCAGCAACAACTCAGAAAGAGGACCTTCTCCAGTCTCCGGGGGCTCAGCCCCATGCCTTAATGGCTTCATGTCCCAGATGAACGAGGTGGTCTCCGGTTCAAATAACGTGCAAGAGGATGCTCTGCTCCCCTCAATACCACTGGGTTTGCCACTGGACAGCCAAAGGGCTTCTCCAACTGGGGTCTTTGGTCCATACTCTCCAACTGCTAGAGTTCCACAGTGGGATGCCCAGGTACCTCCCCCATCTCAGCCCAACCTCTCCACATCACCATCTCACTACACAGCCAGTTACAGTGACTCTATCCTCAGCCAGTTCAGCAGCCATCTCTACCCAAGCTTGGACTCTACTGGCATGGTGTATCCGCGGGAAGGCACTGAGGTGTAGAGCACAAGAGAACGATACTGAAGTGAGTTTCCCACCAGGCACTTGACACAGCGGTTGGCTAAAAGAGCCACCACAATTTCCAGTGTTGCCTGAGTCAGCAGGTCACAGCAGACACTGAGCACTCTCCACTGTGTGAAAACACACACGCTCCGATCTCAGCCTGAGACGCTGATATCATCGCATTTCAGGTCGCAGCTAAGCATTTCAGACGTGCTGACGTTTTTTGTAACTTGCTTTCTGAAAACAGACTTTTGTTGTAGTATATTAATTGCACTGGCCTTTATTATGAGTAAAATGTATTTGTGTGTTTTTTATATTTTGTGACATGTGTGTATGTGGGTTGATGTATTGTTGTGGAAATAAACCAAAATGAAAATGACTTTTTTGTAAGAATATTTAATGTAAAATAAATAAAAAAGTGTTTGACCTGTAACTGCAGCAATTCCAATAATGGTTGTGTTATTTTATTACAGTGGTTGTTTTCTTTTTCCATATTGTGCTGAGATATAAATCATTTTGTTGAAAGAACATGAAAAGCAAATGCAAATAGAATCTGACAGTTATTGAGCTTTGATTATCCGTGCTTTTGGCTGACTGAAGTCGAATCTGCCTACTTACTCTTATTTTATTCACTGATCCACACGACAGGAGTGTATGTGTGTGTGCGTGTGTGTGTGTGTGTGTGTGTCTGTGTGCGCATGTGAGGAGGAGGGTGCTGGGTAGGGATAGCCAAAGGAACCGTTAAACAACAAACTTTAAAAGAGAGGGGAAAAGACTGGTTTGACAGCAGGAGGAAAAAGATAAATGAAGCAAAACTTGTTCATCGAGGTTTCGTGGTATTCTGTGCAGTCCCACTAATTACTAGAAAGTTTTAAATAGAAATACACAAATAAAAAAGATCTAAATAAGATTTTCATGAATTATTTGAAATTTGTAATTAAAAAAACAAACAGTTCATTTACACAGTTAAAAATAAAGATACTGAGCAGGTACATTTTTCATTTATCAAGGTACAAGCAATGCAAATGTATCCTCAAAGGTACAACAGTGGCTTTAAGGTGCAATTGTGAACCTTAGGTTTTTCCCAGGTGAAAAGTGTGTATTTGTACCTTTTCATAACCTAATGTTTTAAAACAGATCAATAAAATAAAAAGTCTGAACATGAGACGGGGTTTGTGGAGTCATCACAACTTAGAAAAAGTTTTGTACCTTGATTTTTGAGACTGTGGTACATCATCCTTCGTATTTATCAATTAATCTGTAAAATGTGCTGTTGCTATTTTTTTATTTAGCGTAAAAATGTACACATCACCAAAACATACAGCCATTTAGCAACGTTTATTCGGTCTTATAAACGAAATCATTAAGAACAAACAATATAAGACCTCTGTAAGAGAAAGAGATCAAAAGAGATGTTTTCTCAATAATGCCATTATCAAAGCCCTCTACACATCTCCTCTCTAATGTCCTGCTAACAGAGGAACATTTTATCTACAGTTCTTATGGGTTTATATTTAGAAGCTGAGTAATCATTCTGAATAGTGTTCCAAAAACCAAAAAGAAACAATATTTTAACTCTAAAAGATCACACTAAAACAGGGCAATGCATCGGGGTCATTTTGTGTCCTGATAAACAGTGTTAGAGGTCTGCAGCAGGACGGGCCGACAGAATATGGGGTAAAAATGAGTGATTCTTTATTTACACCGTTCACTAGGAGCTCATTAGGAGTTTTATCTTAAAAGGTAAGTAATCTGGCTGCCTTACATTTTTAATTATACATTTAAAATTAAAACAGAACATCAAATACTGAATTAACTGAATGTAACACACATATTGACTGATCTGTTAACCTCCTATTACATGTTCAGTAAGCCTGAAACTTTAGAACAGCCAGTTAAGTTAAAATGGCGATTGTTTTGTTGTTCAGTGGAGTAAATTAGCCTTTTTACAGAGACTTCAGACAGTCAGGCATTTCCTGCATTACACTCTCTCTCGCCTGCACTCTCTTGAGCTCTCACTCCGTATAAGTGCGACTCTCTGTTTCTCTTTCTGGTTCTCTCTCTCTCTCTCGCTATCTAGCTCTCTCTCTCTCTCTCTCTCTCTCTCTCTCTCTCCTCTCATGCACCATCTCTCTCGCTCTCATGTGCTCTCTATGTTGCTTCTCTTTCATGCACATTCTCTCTCTCTGCCCTGCACAGTATATCTCTCTCTCTCTCTCTCTCTCCCTCTCCTGCGCAGTTTCTTTCTTGTGTGCACTCTCTCTTTCTCTCCCTCATTCTTGTGCAGTCTCTCTCATGTGCAGTCTCTTTCTCTCTCTCATGTCCTCTCTCTCTTCCACTCTTTCTCTCTCTCGTGCACTCTCTCTCTCTCTCTCTCTCTCTCTCTCTCTCTCTCTCTCTCTCTCTCTCATGACTGGATATTGAGAGTTATGTGAACAAGGTGAAATATGTTATGCTATTAAGGTTTGGGGCTTGTTAAAATATTCAGGCTATAGCCTTGAAGCTCAGGCCAGGCAACACCTGAGTGACCCAACAATATGTAAGAGTGTGGCAGGTAAATGGTTTGTTTGAGTGCTACACCTAAACACAACACCACATGTTAAACTCTGCTGCATATCTGTCTGCTCTGCTGGAGGATATGCTGCCACCAACTGTAGATGACGTGGTCTTAAGATGCTTTCATTCACGTGAAATGTTGAGGTGATGTTTTACACCCGTGTTACCAATCTAAAGCAACCGAAACAAAAGAGAAACGTTTCTTCTGCTGAACTGCACCAGCTGTATTGATACAGTTATCCACACCACCGTGTGCAGGATGAACTTTGCTCTCTATATTTGCAAATGAACTCGGCACTATTGAAAGACTCCCACAGACTGATTTTTTTGCTGATGTCATCTTTCGCCTAACTTTCCTCAGCGTGGGAATCAACCTTTCATCTCTCTCGCTCTGACAAAGCATAGTCTACAGCAGCCACATATCAGCAGGAGCTGGGATGGTTGATTTATTTAATTAATTTAAGATCAGTTTTCTCAGATCAAAAGCATTGAATACACTGCTACCGCATAAGTTAAGTATCTACACATTTCATTTCTAAAAAATAAAACACAAAATTCTCTCCCTGGGTGTCTCATACACTCTCAGAGACTAGGCACTAAACTGTCACTGGGGTGGTCCCCTCAAGGGTATGTCTTCTCCACCTTTAGTTGAGGAACATAGTTGTACAATGTTCCATTGAAAATGTATTGTTGTTTAATTATAAATTGTATGAGTTGTACTGACTCCATACATACTGTTTGTACCTTGATGAATGTACCAGCACAGAACCTTCATTTCATACATTCTTGTCATTTTCATTTATTTTACACCACATGGGGTGCATTATGGGGATGCAACATTTGTCCTTTACCCTTCAAAGCAATGGAATAAACTTCCTATAGATATCAAGGAAGCCAGCTTAGTAAGTATTTTTAAAAGAAAGCTAAAAACTTGTCAACTCATTTTAGCTTTTAAATAGCTATGACTTTTTGATACAGGCCTGAAATTCTTTTTTGCACCACTGTATTTCTTGTAAAAAGTTTTTTTTGTTTGTTTTTATGTTTATTTCTATGTGAAGCCTTTGCATGTAATTTTATGATTGTAAAGCACTTTGTGCTGCATTTCTTGTATAAAAGGTGATATAAAAATTATTAAAATTATAATTATTATTATTATTTTATGGCAGTGCAAATTTAGTCAGTTAGTTCTGTAAACATTTTTGGAGCCTTTTTTATGCAGCTTCAATATTTCTTTTTGAAAAAAAATAAATGTTTTTATGTTTTTTTTCCCAATATCCTTCATTCAAAGACAATATTTTTCAAACATGTAAGAATTCTCCAATTTAAAAAGGTTAAAGAAGAAAGAACCCAAAGCTGAGTTCTTAACAACAACAACAACAACAGTAGAATAAACAAATGAACTAAAGATTTTAGTTGAACAGAAAGCCCTTTGGTATTGCTCTCAGGATAGACATGACCCACAGGTCACTAGTCAAATAGGCCAGATGCGAGTTTCTCAGGGTTTCACTGTTGCTTTGCATAGGTCAGATGAAGTTAAATAGTAGTGTTTGGACTCTCAGAGACAGAGTTCTCCACACAGAAAGATTGCAAAGAATTAGTGAGCTTTTCTTATATTAAATACTATGCACAATACATTCTAGGTGTACATTTAAGGAATAAATGCAGCACAGGCCACAATAATACAACTCGCAAATCCTCTAATGCCCTTCATTTAGGACTCATTAATGTCCTGGTCAAAAATGTGTTTGCTCTGTGCTGTCAATTGTCACAGCGTTTAACTTTCAAGGTGACTCTAAGTAGCAGATTAATTGACAGCTATTATTAGACAGGACAGTGAATAATGCATGAGCAAATGGAAATTTAGTTGTTTGCCTAAAATTAAAGGTTCACAAATGCTTCTTGGCTTGGATATGTAGTTCTAAGGATGTAAAAAACTTTAATTGGTATGGAACCTTTATATGGAACTTACATGATGTTGTTCTTTGAACTTTAAAAAAGCTCAAAACTCTCACATCTCATATACATGCTTAAAAATATGCTTCTTTAAAAAAATCTTTGATTAAAAATTTTTAGGGAATGTAATTTTTCCATGTCATAGCTCCAAAGCACCCTTTGGACAGCTTTACATGTAAGAGTGTAGAGAGAGCAGACCCACCCATGATTTAATCTGAGACAAAGTGTTAATGAGCTACATTTGGTCGTTGTGTCTTAATGAACCATAGTAATAATAATGCCCTAATTAAGACTCATGGTGGTTTGGTAAAAATGTGACCACATTAAAACAGTTGGTCATGATGAGCTTGTTCTGATGGTCAGATAAGCATGGCATGTGCTGCAGTTTTCTCTGTCTGTCGTAATGAGCCTCGTCATTCTGAGACCCTATTCTTACACATTCCTGACCACCTCCCTGCGCTGTTTATTTCCAAAACATAGCCGTCCACTGTTTTCACACAATTAAACAAGCCTCTCCATTTACACTTATCAATTGTATTGTATCTAATTGATTGGATCTAAACAACACAGAAAGTGTGCCTTATATTTACAGTCCTGTGCCTGCCATGATGATTTAGATCAAGATTGGCCTGTCTGGACGGCCCTCGGCTCAACACAGGAGTGAGGTGAGGGGGAAAAAATCTGCTCAATAGTCATAGCAATAGTTGACAATCTATAAAAAAAGGGAAAGTAAAATTTCTACTTCTCTCACAAATTAATCTGTTCAGCACGTCTGAGTTGAATATTACAGAACACCTTAGTTTATCTCTGGAACAGAGTGCTTGTTAAATAAAAATCTCCTTAGAGAGTAAAACTGTATCTTATATATGT